TGGGGGGGGTGTGGGGGGGGAGAAGAGCTGAGCCCTACAGGGGGAGTGGGGAGGTTGGCACCTGCAAAACATGTGGGGCAGATCCTGCTCCTGCTGCCAAGAAACACAGGGGAAGGTGGCAAATCTGGGGGCTGGCAGAGGCATTTGGGACCCCACTGGTGGCTGAGCTCTCATTGCCCCCTCCAAAAACTTTGCAGGGGCTCCAAATCTCCCACTGCTGGGGGAAACAAGGGTTTTCTGATCCCACCAGCCCTCGGGGGGGGCAGTGGTGGATGCTGTGACCCCGGCCACCCCATGGCTGCCCCATGCAGGCATTGCTCCCCACAGCCTCTCTGCATCCCTGAACAGAAAGCACAAGCAGCTCCTGGGGAAACCACCACTTTCACCGGGAGTGTGTCAGTGTTTAATCACCCTCCGTGCTCAGAACCAGCCCCAGCCTCATCTCAGCTGGGTGCTGCATTGCTGGGGCTGTCAGAGAGACCTGCTGGGCACGCCAGGATGCCCTGCTCGATGTCACAGCCCCCCTGGAAATGCAGCTCGCCCCTGGGTTGAGAGCTGCTTTTCCAGCTGTGTTTGCAGATGCTTTATTGATGCTGTGTCTCTTCTCCTCCTTTCAGCTGATCGATAACCCCGGGGGAGGAAGATCTAAGTGCAGTGCCTATGGGACAGAAGGGCTGCTGCAGCTGGGGCAGTCAAAGTCATCAACGTGATCAAAAGCAGCTTTGTCAGGTCAGATCCGTTTTCTAGAAAGGATTTGTTTGATGTGTTCTTCTGCTGTCTAATTCTTTGTCTGGGTCGGATCAACTATTCCGTTACCTTGCTGGGGCTGATGGTGAGATAACCACTAAATGCACAGCCCGCTTGTGGCTGTTTCCTTTTTTGAGGTCCTTGCCTGGCCCCGGCCACTTGGGACTTCCCCAGCTGCTTGCAGAGATGGGTTATATTGAGATGGGTCCACCCTCGCCTGTCCCCAGGAAGAGGTGGCTCACAGTCCCCCCCACTCCTGCCACCCACGCCCCTGCAGAACCCGGGCTGGCTCCTGCCCAGATGCCATCACCTTCCCCAAAAAGCAGTGGAGGGTTTTTTTCTGTGTCCGAGGCTGGAAAACCCAGAGGGGATCTGCATTTAACCCCAAAGCAGCTCACTGGGGAGGGAGAATGGGCTGTGCAGCCCCTGAGGCATCACCCGGTACCCTGAGGCTGCGGGGATGGACCCATCTCCTGTTGTTGGAAGATGTAAATGTATAGAAATAAGACAGAATAGATGCTGCCTCTTGTTCTGGGGGAGAGATCACCAGAAAATTCACAGCCAACCCCCGATTTCAGACACGTTGATCGCAGGGGAGCAGTGGTGAACACGCTGGCAGGCGTTGCTGGAAGAAGCTGTGGGTGCATTGCCAGGCTCAGACCAGCCCGTCTCACCCTTGCCCACCTAAACTGGGAACCCAGCAAAATAAATGGCACCAACGTGGGTTTGATGGAGATCTCTAGGGCTTTGGGGCCCTCTCTTGGTTTTGGATCCCATGCTCTGCTCCTGGCTGGCACCCGCGACTGGGCAGCTCCCCGTTCCCCGGCTGCTGGTGCCGGGTGGTGGGATGCAGGTCACCCTATGTCACACTGGCCCCAATAACAGGGAAAGCAGCCACAAAGAGAAAGGTTTTGAAGCCAAAGTGGTGGGTGGTGGGCTCAGGGTGTCCGTGACAGAGCAAAAAGCTTTCCTCTGGGATGGCAATTCCTCTCCGCATCACCTGGGGCAAGGGACCTGGTGGTACACACGTTCACATGGCTTGTTCCCCAGTGGTTCACTCTCTCTCAGCTGTCCCAGGCTGAACTTTCCCCCTTCCTGGTGTCCCCCACCGTGTGCTGCCTGACTCATTTCCCATGTCCTTTGGCCCCCGGCATCCTGGCTGCCTCCGTGTGGGGACGGCCCTTGCCGAAAAGCTGATTTCACACCGAACTCCTCTGCTTGAGATTACGATCAGGGCTGGGCTGCTCGAGTTGAGTGATCTCTTCCCCCGCTCCCCAATGTTGGCCTTTGAAAACCCAGAGTTTAAAACTAAAATAAACCTAAGGTGCTATCTGCCTCCTTATCTGCACCCCGATTTCTGCAGGTTGCACATACCTCACCGTTTCCCAGCGATGCAAAAGGCAAGAAGCAGCATTTAATGGTGGGGAAAAAAAAAAAAAACAAAAACCAAAAGAGCAAGTAAGATGCTCAGAAAGTCCTCTGCACACAGGAGCTGGGGTCAAAAATAATAATAATAAAAAAGTACACTAGGTA